AGGGTTGGGGGTCAGAAAAGAATGTTTGCGGGTCAAAAAAGAATGGTCGTGGGTAAAAAACAAAAGGTCCAGGGTCAAATTAAACGGTTGCGGGGGTCAGAAAAAAAAGGTGGGGTCAAAAAAAAAGGGTGCGTGGGTCAAAAGAAAGGGGAGCCCGTTTTTTATTTAGCCCACTCCTACTTAATGAAGTGGCGCAGTGGAGGGAGTGAACGCGCTACTTGGTGCGAAATACTGGATGGCTCTCAACCATCGCCTTCAGTGAAAAAGTGCTCAGACGACTGGCCACTGGCCATGGAAGAGCTGTTAGATGACTGGACCGTCGTGATGGTCTGGAACGTCGGACGTCCCGAAGGATGGCGGCAGAATCTGACCGGCGCGGAGGTAAGATCTACCACGTGTCCACCATGTGTCATGTGTCATGTGTCTTGCCCCTATTTGGTGTTTTTCACACTCACTGCAGATTGAAAGACAATTTAACTCTAAAATAACCCTAATTAAACTATATTATATAAATTACTCTTCCCGCAAAAATGAAGAAAATGGTTTGGAACGTCCCCTCAATCGAAACAGAGGTATCATGGAAGCCCGGGCAGGCACAAACACCAGTGAGATTGAAAACTCCAACCAAACTATCTATCTCCCTAGTAATGGATATCTCCAAACACTTCGCAGTGATCCTGAAAGTTCTCCTACGTTCGCTTCCGACCACCTGTTCGACGTCCTGTGAACCACCATCCGTCCCTGTTCGTCCTCCTCCGCCCAATCCAAGTTCCGCATCACCTCGCCGACGGGCCACGACGAGACGAGACCGCGCGGGAGACGAGGATCGGTTGCCTTCGGCAATTGCTATCCACCCAGGGTCGGGCGTGTGGGCATGTTGCTCCTTTTCGACCCCCCCGTTGACCACGTGTTTTTTGGAGATCCAATAGAACCGTTCCCAAAAAAGAAAAGCGGGTGGTGGCGGCATGAGACCTTCTTGCACTTCCGTCAGCACATCACCGCGCACGAAGAGAGCTCCTCGATCCGTGGTTCCCGAAGGACCCTCCGCCGCTGCGAGCAGCTATGTGGGGTGGAAAAAAATGTCTACATGAGTCTACGGTCATGTAGAATCTGGATAAATAAACCGTCATAAACCATAAACCTCCCCTATTTGGAGTGTAAACACTTGTAAAAACTCCTTCATCTGGGGGATTCTATACATCACGTCATTCTTCGCCTTCAGCACGTCCTTCGTCATTCAAAAAGAAATGCAGACCAAGTCGGTGGACTTGAAAAAGACCAAACATGCCGACGTCCAAAACGCTGACGTCAGTCGTTGTGGACTTCATTCGTCATTCGACAAGAAGACAACGACGAAACGGTGAGTCGGGTGCGCGACCTGCGACCTCTGCGACCAGTGAAAACGACCAGTCCCAAGCAGAAAGAGGATGGATCTCCCCGATCTCAGAAATCCTATCGAAATGTGGATCTCAGTTGCCATATTGGAACAACCAGAAAAAGTTTGTTTGGGTTCCCAGGCTCCCAAAAACCCGCTTTCCGAGCCCCTGAAATGGTGTCAGTTCTCCCTATCCACGGATCATGGGCCGCTTTGCGAAGCGTCTGCTCCAAAAACACATTCCATCCATCCGCCCACCAGCCTTAGCGGTGGTGAGTCTTCGTGGGAACACACGGCCCTGGCAGTGTGCCGTGCAGCACTACACACACGCACCAAAAAAAAGCACCGAACAAACGCCCATTCTGGCGTTGGTCTTGACTCTGGATGTGAATTTCCAGGTACCGGCAGTTTCTGTCAAGTTGCTTATGTCACATCCACGCACTGGAGGCTCCATTGGGGAGGTTCCTCTGTAGATCAATCAAACCCTGAGAGTCCAGTTGACTGTCAAAAGAATGGTCTACTAGGTGACCCGAACTGGGGAATATCCTGTACTTCAGTCAGTCAAAATATAGTGGAACTGAACTTCTAGGGTAAAGACAAAGAATAGTGATGTCGGACGCTCCATCCAGGATGTTCCGGAACACATTAACCATCATCCAGCTTAACCCATCATCCAGCGAAACCTGCCCACACCCGTTCGCCTTGCGTTCGAGCTATTAAAGGAGTGCTTGACCTGGTAAAAGAATCCGTCAAAATCCTCCCAGTCAAACCATGCTCCTTCGGTCGTTGCCGATGATTTCGTGGTTTTGGAGTGGCCTGGTCGGCCGTCCGCGATGCCGTTACACACACCGCGACCGCTGTCGCGATGCACCCGGTTTCAGACCCTCGACTCGGTCTCGAGAAACGGACGAAGAAAAAGCAGACGCAGACCAGCCAGGACGACGCCTCCGGTCCATCAATCGAACAAGGTATCACGGATCACGTATGGCGCCGGCGCCCAATGGCCTTAACTAGCTCAAAGTTCAAGGACCAAAGCTGTTGTGAACACCAGCTTCGCGGCATCTCCCTGCAGGCGGTCGTTCTTCGGGAGAGTTGAGGTGGTGGTTGTGGTGGTGTTGGGGTTCGTAAACAAATAAGAGCTGTGTGTTTCCCTAGCCTTCCAAGACCATTTAAGGAAGGGTTCATCGGGTCTTGTAGTAGAAAGCCCTTAGGATTGCATTCCCTTGAGCAAACAACTAAATGAACCTGTTGGAAGTGGCGACTGCCATACCCGAATGGACAAGTGGGATAGCACCAGTTCCCAACCGAAGCGGATACCTTTCGGGAACTGGCTAGTCTGTGAGTGACCCATCAAGCCATGATGAGAGGGAGAACAGAACATCAAGCCATGGCGGTTCGCCGGCCGAAGCATCCGTTGGAACACCACACGTTGGTCCCCATCGTTCCGTTTCAGTGTCCGAAGACTCGTGCGTAGGGAAGCGGGCAAATGGTGAATGAGCCCGGGTTGGAACCACACTCAGCACTGCATACCCCATGGAAGCCAGCACAGCAGCATGGAGCCCATCAGTCAATGTCTGCCGAAAGGCAAACAGAACCAGAATCACCCACCAGAGTAAACTACCTGACACCTGAACCCCCCCCATTGCCAGAAACAAAACATGAAACAGAACCATTCAGAAACTGTCATATTGACCTAGGGAACCAGCGATTTGGATCTCATGTTCACAAATAATGTTTCAGATAAACCCACCAAAAGCCCTTATAATTGGGATTAATTGGGTGAATATCAACCAACACAAAAATCCTACCAACACTCCATACTTGAACCTTGACAACTCCACCTAAAACCCTTCGAGAGTTTCATAGCCTCAAAAGAAAACGCGTCTGCGCGCTGCAGGCCCCCAAAACGAAACACAAAACGTAACACCCCACCAACTGCCACCCCACCCTGCGCAGACGGCCACAGTGCGTCCACCTGTAAGGGCGCTGTCGTCCCAAGATCATCACTGCATCTCGGAAGTTCTCAACGTCCAAAGCCAGCTGAGAGATCTCGTCACTGCTCCTGAGCTCCTGAGAGACCAGGTCGCGGTCGGGCTCCAGTCGAGATCGTACCGGCATGTTTGGTGGTCCCCAAGGTCTAGATGACTGTGGCACGGTGTGCATTTTCTACGTGAACACTATCTATTTGGGGGTCTATACACTCTGACGAATACATCACATGGAAGTGGATTGCATGTTTATCTTGGAGCTTTTCCGAAACGGGGAGGGTCCGCTTCCATGTTAGGCCGTGTGTCGATCCACCTCAACGAGACGAGAAAGAAGACATGATGGCGTCCAATTCTCCTACCGCTTAAAGAAGAAAGAACAACGAGCCAAGTGTTGAAGAAACAGGTTTTTTTTTCGGTGTCCGGTTCAATACTGTCACCTCATCGCAAGGTTGCTGTGAATCTTGAGACTCTGGAGACCCCCTGGCCCAATGGGTTCGCTGGATGGTAGACTGGTCTATTTTCCTTCTTTCAGGGGAATCCCAAAAACAGATTAGGATAGATTATATAGGTGTCACATGGTTTCTTTTCGACCCACGAGGGTTCCCAGTAACACTCCTCCAAGAAATGTCGAGCATGCAGACCCTGCCCTGATCTCCTCGGGCTCTTTGCCCACCAGCACCAGGAGCCCGGAAGGCTTGGTGAGCTCCGCCAAACGCTTCAGGAGACCCACCTGCTCCAGTGGTTGTTGTTGGCTGAAACGCATTGAAATGCGTTGAATGCAATGACACTGGTGTTCGATTTCGATTTGTCAAAACGAGTTTTGACCGGATAGAAACAGAAACGAAGGGAAAGAAGGTCTATCTCACTATGTATTTGAGATGCTGTGCCTCGGAAAAGTCAGCTTCTCTTGGATGCTTTGTGAACATGCTGGGCTCCAGGACTTTCCACAAGCTGGATGGGCCCAGTCACACGAACATCTCTCTCTTCTCCCTTTCCCACTTCGGAGGGCACCTGTCGAATCACCCTTCAACACCACCTGTCTCAGAATAACCATCCATCTCATTCCCCTGTCGAAGTTCAGTTCGACTATATGTTGCTCCACTGAAGTAAAGGAAGTTCCTATTTGAGTCAAAGTCGACGTCAACATTGCCTTGGACCTCCAGGATCGCACTTCGAACCGAGGTCACCAGTCTGGAGCCACTCGTTCCACCAAACCACAGACCAAATCCTCCGGTTCATCTGGTTCATCTGTGGGTTGAGAGTAGATGGCCCCAAGTTTGGTGGTTTATATGGACCCTATATAAAAGACATCTTGGGGGTTGTGCCATCTACTCTCAATCCACTGTACATAGTGCTCCTCTGGGATCCTCTGGGATCTGCATTCGACCTCTCCAAGTCCGCCTGGAAGAAGGGCGCGAAGTGATCAACGGCTCCCAACCTGGGAAACCGGTCCGGGCAGAACCGGTTGGAACCGGTCTCCAAAAAGAAAACGTGCCAAGCCAGCTGAGGTATGGAGGGCTTCTTGAACGAACACACCTGCCTGTCATCTTCAAGAGCTCCGAGAAGTACAGGATTCCTTCCTGAAAACTCTAGATCCATATATGTACAAACATGTATGCCCATGCTTCGTTTTGAGGGTCCCTGGTCACAAACCATGGATTCCATGCAACGTTTAAGCGCCGCTGCGCAGACCGAAGTGGGTCTCCGGGAAGCTCTGTCTTGGCGTCTCGGCTCCGGTTGAAACAGCCAAGGATCTGAGTACATGGAGTAGGAACTATACATCTACCAGAACAAACCATCCTGGGTCTATGGTTGAAACACCATCCTGGAGTGTGTATATATATATATAGATGGAATGTGAACCAACCCAAAAACATCACCAACTTCCTATTGGCTTTCGGATCGGCGTGTGACGAGGGGCGACTGAGGCAGAAGTGCTCCGACCCGACCCCAACCAGCGGTATTCTTGAATTTGCTGTCCAGAAAACTTGAAAAAAGATCCACGTCACATCACCCTAAGCAAAACCAGGTATATCCAGGAACGCCCCCAAACGGTGTGAAGCAGCGTCTGAGGGACAGATAATCGGCCAGCACCAGATCGTAGCTCTTCCCCCAGAGGAAGTCTTTGTCTTTCCAATTGCCCAAGAGTACCTCATCGACTGACCAGTGCCGTTCACCCGCACCCGCACCCGACTCGTCGACGGAGATATGAGAACGAAGAAGGAAGAGTTGACCGAGTCGACCAGCTCGCCTTCCGTTCGACCATAAAGAAAAGGGAACGACCTGGTGACCGAAACTGCTGCTAGTGTCAAATCGGTAAAACCATGGTCGTTCGGGACGACGAGCCTATTAAATGAATGCCGGGCCAGGAATCCTAGGGTTAATGTTTATAAGGCATGTGTCACCTGGCCGCCGAGCGCGTGCCATCAGATGTCCGAGATATAAGGCATGTGTCTTCCAATAGGCACCCCCCGTGCAACGAGCCCCGCAAAGGCTCCGGCCACCACACCCCTGATGCCTCAGCCCGCCGAGTCTAACAGATCGGGGTCACCAGCGAAAGCCGACGCTCGGCGAAAGGCGGCTCTGACAGGCCAAGACCGCTCGCGAAAGCCGCGGCGCGCACCTGGTCCCGTGCTGAGTCCAGAAAGTCGCACGACTCGTCTTCTAAAGTCGCGAACATTCCTTCCTCAGTGGAAGAAATGTCGGCCTCCTGTTGAGGTCGATTTTGCAGGTGGGAAGGCAAGACACAAATCTTAACTGCCAAATTTGTGGCTTTGGAACCTTGCCAGCTCAATCACCTATTTGGGCCGCCATTTCAGGCCGCCAGCAAAGGTCACCATCCTTGTGTGGTCTGGATTCTGGATCTCAAAGGTTAGTCTACAAGGTTTGGGAACCGTTTGCGACATGTGGCAACACGTTGCATGTTGCATCCGCATCTCAGGCCAATGAAAAAACATTGAGCATATCTGAGCGATGAACTTCAGGCGTGTGAAGAACTTCTGCATCTGGCTCTCACCACAGCGCAAGGAATCAACTTTGAAGATACACCACGACGGACTGTCAAAACTTGCCTCTTGGTGGGGATTGTCAAAACGTCGGCTCCAGGGTGGGCATGCCTGCGGTAAACCTTTAGCCATACCTGCCCCATCTCTTCTCGGAACATTGAGACGTTGCGATAGTCCCGAACATTGAGACGATGGACCAACTTTTCACGCAGAACTGAGCACGCAGAACTGAGCCCGCAGAACGCTTGATTTCTTCACAGCGGAAACAGCAGGGAAAACCGTGTCTTGTGTCCTTTCGCTGCAATGAGTACCTCATGCCTTCTAAACCCTGAAACCTCAGTTGTGATTACTATAACCCAACTAAGAAAGTAGTCCTGGTGCACTCAGCCAGCACAGCCCAAACTGGCCCAAACACTTCCCAACCCAGAAACACCCAGCCCTTGCCACCCAGAAACGCACGCGGTCACCGCGGTCAGGCTCTCCGCCTCGCGTCCCGCCGTCGCCAGCCACTGCAACGAGTCAGGTCCAGTGCCCGCATCCAGCACCTCAGGTCACCGGCTGGAGCCCTAAGCCCGGAGTCCCAGCTCAGCAGGCGTCACATCGGGGGGGTTCCCTTCCCAGGTTTTTGAGCGTCCCAGTCTTGGTATGGCTGTCAAATGAGCCTGGGATAGTGTCGAAGAGCGACTATGATGGTACGAGAACATTTGGAGGCATTGGAATGGTCTGCCTGCTGTGTCACTGGTGTATGCCTCGCACACAGCAGTCCAAAGTAAATTGAAGGGCCTGTAGAACACAGCTGAAAACATCACCCGGCAGGGCAATGCCTCGCACCTGAATTCCACTCGCTTCACCCGATGTCATGAAAAAACCTCATTTCGGACACCAAGGAAAAACAACTGGAAAAGAAAAGAGAGAAAACGCCCAGCCTTATAGGGCCACATCCCAAACACCCCCACACCACCCATCGCCGTCCGGCCTCGCCGGCCCAGCGGCCGCGCAGGACCTTCGCCAGCCATCGGAAGACCGGGTCCTGCGGTGTCGACGACACCATCCAAGAGAGGTGGGTTCCGTGACCTGAACTAGGACCTGAAGAGAGGTGGGTACCGAACTGGGATAGGCCAACGTTCGGGTCCTGACCCACCTCTGTTGGATGTGCTTCTTCGATGTTCGGAATGGCCATGTTCAAACGATCGGGACAGAAAGCATTCTCTTTTGTAGCGGGGTTTGGGCCTCCTGGATGCTATCAAGCGAACCGGGTTTACACCTGTCGTTGTCAGGCCAAAATAAGTCGTGCCCTTTGTTCCTAGTAGCGTCCTTGTTCCTAGTAGTATGTGCAGGAGCTACTGGTAGCTTCTTGCTCAGAGTAGCGATGCCCTGAGCCCCTAGTAGCGTCCTTGCCCCTAGTAAGGCCAGGAGCCACGATCGTAGCTTCTTGCTCATGCCATGTTGACTCCCAATCCAAAACTTCGCCTCTGTGGCCGGCGCCGCCCGCCGCCCTCGCGCGCCCAGCGCCGCTGCGGCGGCCGCCGCGAAGGGACCCGCGCGCACTGCGTGTCGCGCAGCGGTGTGTGGAGCCTCGCCTGACGTTGCCCAGTGACCGGAGAAGTGTTATATACCATGTGTAACGATTATATAAATATTAATGTATTATATAAATATCGTATTACTACTTAAGATTTACTGCATATCATCTTCATGTAAAACTCAGCCCAGATTGCTGGGTGTATTGCTGGGAGAAGGCTATACTTTGGGATGCTAGTTCATATGGACTCTACGTGATCGACATGCAGTCCCCGGTGAATACCCCTCCTCTGCAGCAGAATCGCCAGCGTCGATGGGGTCTCATTCACTGCTACTTTTGAAAAGACTGCACTGGCTCCGCGAAGTGCCACGAAGCACTGGCTGCTGGTTGCCTCCCTCAGCTAAAACTTTGCAGTAACCATGCAGAGAATTTCAGTTGTAAGAGCATCTACCTGACACCCTGATGACACACGACGAAAGCCTACATTATAGGCCTCGTCTCCAATCACCTCCATGATGCAAAGCACCCCCGCGACCAGGGTGACCCGGTCTCTGCTGTGGCGAGCCCAAGGCAAAAACTCCGCCCCATGCTTGCATGACATTCGGAGAAATGAGAAACTTCTAGGTTTCACAAGCATCTGTGTGGTTGGATCGAAAAATGTGTCTAAAAGCTTGAGATTCATCTGCTTGTGACAACGGGCACATCTTCCCAAATTCCTTGAAGTGAGTAGAAGTGATCCAAAACTATCCAAGAACTCCCCTGGTTGTTTTATGTTGTTTTCTTGGGGACAAACCCTTCTCGTCCTTCGAATGTTGACCTTTTTTGACATCACAAATCCCATGAAAATCCTGCCCAACCTCGTGATAAACTTGCTTTTCGTGTCGTTCTTTGTGCCGCAACAACGAACTGCGTGTTTTGTCTGCTTCATCACCGAACGTCTGAGGTGCTGAACGGACCATGCCAATGATCCGAAGAAGAAAACGTGCAATGAAGAAAACGTGCAAACGCGATCTGCACTCTTCACATGATCCAAACCGTCTTCTGGACACCGGAAGTGGTTTTTCACCCAGCACGTGGGGCATCGAGGGTGTCGCAAAAGCTTCGAACATGTGCGACCAATGCAACTTGGCAACTGGAGGAGTGTTCAAAGTTCAAAGGCTCGCGCATCGGACCTTTTAGCGCGCTGTATTGAAACTACTGTGTCGCCTCTCCTGGTGACAGGCCATCGCAGAATCAGTTGATTCTTGCGATTCCTCATCCCGAAGTATACTAGGGAGGTTTATGGAAGAAGCACTGACAAATCTATTCAACTGAAACCTCCATAGCCTGTACCGTACTTGTTGGGTGCTTCAGAAGCCATGCACTATCAACAGACTGATTCACAGAGGGCCCTGTGACCGGCCAAGCCAGGGGACGGCGCCTTGTTTCGACACCCATGGGCAGCCTCACCCATGGCTCAGAAAAGCTTCAGATGGTGTTCAGTTTTCAGTTCGTGCTTTTCACTTCGCCACACACCCAAGTAGCCCCAAGGAAAGCAGCCCGGTTGTTCCTAGCCCTTCAGTGTTGTGGATCATCGTCGTTCTTGCGACTGTCTGGTGCCCATTCATCAACACCCCCTGGAGGCGGTTTGTCCTTCGGTTCGGGCCAATGAAATCACGATGCATCCAGCAAATCCGCTCAGCCTGGCAGCCGCAGCCTCGCGCGATCGGATGCTGTCGGATGTGAGAAGTCAAGAAGTCTATTGCTTTCCTCTCTTCGGAGCCAGCAAACGGGATTCCAGCCGTGTTGTATATGCTCACTTCTACCACACTCGGTCGCAGACTTCCATTTGTTTGAGACAACTCTCGACTTTGCTGCGTACTATCGCTACACTTCGAATGATCACAATTACCGGTGGGGACTTGACCACCGACCTGCCGAACCAACGGCTGGGTGGTAGGCTGGTGACGTAAGGAAAACCGGACCATTGGGAGCTCACCAAAGAAAATCTATCGATCATGCAGCTGCATCTCCATCTCTCTGTCTACAAAATGTCCACCGGTCACCTAGGGTAAAATCAGCCAGAAAGGAAAGGAAAGGCATCTGCAGGAAAACACTGAAAAACACACACGCTCACAGCGCTCCTTTCTCTTCTTCAAATCCTTCAACACTAGGAATTCGTTTGAATGATTCAAAGCCCGAAAACACCACTTTCTACCGTGCGGATCGTTGTGGCCGATCTGTGGTCTTCTTCTATGCTTGGTCTTCTTCAGCCGCTGAAACCGGGGCTTCGACCTCAAAGCCATGGAAGTTGGGGCGTTTTGGTTCGCTTCACCAAAAGGCAAAACCGGTTCTACCGGGCCTGGGACCTCGGCGTAGTTTAGGTCCTTGTCTGCCATCCTTTTTCGGAAGTCATGTCAGCGCAACGCGTCGGCTCTAGATCACGTGAAACCTCCAGTTATCCTTTTTGTTGGGCCTCAGGTTGCTTGTCGGGAGTCTGGAGTCTGGAGTGCCTAATCTCATACCAATCCAAAGCTGCTCTCTCCTGCAACAAATGGATCATTGGGCTGTCTTTGATGCCTTCGATCTCTTCCCAGTTCTCATGTGCCGGCACTGGGACGAAGCCAGGACTTGGGTATTCAAGCCAAGAGGTGCTAGGAGCTACATACTTCAACTGCAGTGGTTGTTTCAACGATCTTTCTCGTTTTTGGTGGCAGAATGCGCTGGCCGGGCCGGCTTTGAGTTAAAAAAACAAGGAAGCCTGCGCTCAGACAGCGTTGAAAAAATGTTATGCGCACACAGACCCAGCAGGCCCCCTCCCTCAAGTGTCAGGAAAAGCCACATGAAAACAAAGGTTCGGCAACTTTTTTCTCGTGTACAGCCGTACATTCACTGTTCAGTCTCTCATCGACAGGCGGGATTCAAATCTAGGTTCAAGCAGTTCAAGCGAATCTGCCGTCTATCATCCTCCGTTATGGTAGGATGACTCTTTGGTTCTGGCGATGGGTCCACAGCCTTCCATGTGTTTGATGACCAACACTTCGGTCGGTCAACGAAGGGAAAAACAGTTTCGCTGGAAGATGTGCACGACAGGGCATCCAGTCATGGATACCCTTTGGCTGACTTGACATGAGTGACCAACCGAACCCTGGACCAAGAGGCAAAAGAGCTCGTCGTTTCAATAAGAATCACCTTAAATGTTTCATCCCACCTTTTGACCACACCAACACCCATGCCCGCACTGATGTTTGCAGCCCCTTGGTCCATACCATGTGTGGAACATCCGTTGCATCATCTTCCAGAAGCGCCAAGCCTCTTCAGTTGAGATTGAAAGTCGCAAACCGCGGCAAGTCGAGTGTTGAGAGACGTGTGGTGCCACCAACATGGAACAGTGATGCTGAACAAAACGGACAACTATCTGGGCACGTCAACAAGTATCATACAGTATGGAAATAAAATACCTGATAATAACCACGCGGGCTTCACTCTGCAGTTGGGATTTCCAAAACCAGCTATGGTACAGCAGCATACCAACCATGCCTTTTGCCGTCCCACATAACGACAGTCTCACACTTTGACATATCAAACGGGTATTTTCTCACAGGTGTTTCACAATGTGACGCCCCAAAAAATTGTTCGATCACTGGTCGGCATTTTGGAACCCCACACAACGACAGTCACACCACTTCAGGCCGAATGATTCTTTGGAACAACAACTACACACTTTGGACGTCCGAGACACGCACACACATGATCTCTGTATAAACAGGGTCGCGCCCATCAAGTCTATTCATCAGTTATGTCACCGTGACGATGAAGGGCAGTTGACCGCGGGCAAGAGTCTGGCAGACTTGACCTTTGACCTTGTCTTCATATCTTCGCAGACCTCGCTGACAGCCCTGCGCCTTGTTCGCATGACTTTGTCACCATGAAGCATGATGGTCGTCAGTTAGGTGTCGTGGGCGAACAACCTTGCGGCTTGTGTGTCTGTGGGTGTTTGACTGTCAACTTTCCTCCCTCTAAGACTGAGATCATCCTTGCATTTAATGGGAAAGGACTTTGCGGCATCGGAAGGACAGTTCACCGCAGCTTGTCACTCAAGAAACGGCCCTCGGGCGCGCGTGGTTCCTTCTTATCGCCACTTGGAGAGCAACATCAGTTTTTGTGGCACTTTTTTTGCGGAAACTCGTAGCCCCATATCATATCTCAAATGAAAACGGCGTGCCATCGCTATAGGACGTGCATCTTCCACAACCGAAAGTTGCCTTGAGAAAAAGAGTCCCTCTCTTTTGCTGTTTGGTGCTGTCTGTTGCACAGTACACCTTGGGCACTTGGTGTACGCTTTCTGCAGCTGACAGCAAGGTGTGGCATGGGGAACTGATGAGGCTACGCCGTTCCTTGCTGTGAATGTATACAGTTGAAGACATACATGACATGAGTGACACGCGTGTTTGTGCGGAGTTGGAGTTGCCAGAGCCGACATTGCGGCGTCACGTTGCCACCTCTTGAAGGGCCCCTGTGAACTTTGGCATTGGGTTTATCGTAGCTGTGTGCGGCGTTCATAGTGTCTTGCTGCCATTTGTTGACTCCAAGAGCATGTGAAGGGCTACACACTCAGCGGTGTTGCAGGGTGCGCAACCACAGCATCTTGAGGTGGCATGCACTGATGGCACTGCCTCTGCAAGCGTGGAGTGTTGTGAATTTCACGAGATGGTGCTCAACGTTGTGTCTGGGCAAAAGCTGGTGGAGCCCCGTTCTTTGCTGAGACACTATTGGCCCAGGCCTAAACTCGCCGCACGAAGATGGAGAAAGTTCCGGCGATTTCTTATTTTGCACTGAGCGTTGCGGCTTGAGCCATTGTGGCTCCAATTATTGGCCCTCAGCTTCCCATCAATCATCAGCAGTTGCGTATGGTTGCTTAAGATCTTGCTCTTTGCACTCGTGGACAAGGTTGGCGCTGGAAGCATGCTGCGACCATTCCTTGATTTGTCCATGCTGCATGGCGACATTGTTTTTTTGGCAGGCACACGCAGGAAGGGTGACCTGGACAAAGTAGGACCTTCACCGCATTACGGCCCCTTCATGTATGGCCCTAGAGCTGGTTTGTTCCAGCGCATCTGTGCCTGCGGTGCACCTTCGTCCGAGAGAAGCTGGAGGTGTAGCTGGCCATGGTGGAGATTGCCTTCACACACTTGGTGATAAAGGTCCTCGTATGCTGCGAAGCGGCGATCAGCCCTTTGGATTCCCACATGTGACAGCTCGTGAATCTCGTGAGCATCAGCAACAGCAATGTGTTGTTCTGTTTTTGCCTCAAAGAGGGGCAGGAACATACGCTTTCGATCTGGGGGCTCTTCACGGTGCGATTACTTGAGCACTTCCTGGGCAATTGCAGTGTATTGGTGTGGTAAGGACTCTTCGGCGGGATTGGTCCAAAGCCAAAAAGATTTTTGCTCAGATCGAAGTCGAATCCGTAGCAACACTTTATCCGCTACCAATGTTCACAAACGTTACCGCTCTTCGTACGGGCAGGTGCGCGGACAGCAGGACCTGCCAGACACACCGGCACTCAGGCATGCTTTAGTTGGTTGTCTTCAGGCTTGTCTTGAAGTGCAACAGCGACTTCCCAGACCTTTAGGAGGACCTCTGAAACTTTCAGATCGAGGCGGAGGAGGTGGCTCTTGCTGGACTTGGTGGACTACCGGTGAGGGCGGTGCACGAAATTTTCACCCCGATGCTCGAACTCACGTTGCTCGTTGGGGACAAGATCGCTCCGTATGCGTCTGCACGGTCTAACACTTTAAAAGATCACAAGGCGCTTTACTTGCATTTAATGTGCACTTCATTCTATAGTGCCTTTCAATCATCTATGTCAGCACTTGAGATTGGGAAGGACCACTTCATAGAAGATGCTAAAAGAAAGGGTGATGCTGCGCTTATGGTTCAACACTGGCTTTAGAAAGACGCTTACTTTGCCTCCATCTCTGTCACGCACATCGTCAACACCATTCATTCCCCAACTGTCACGTGAGGGTCGTTAGATTTTATGTCAGCTGGCGTCCTCCTCCTTCTCTGCCTTCTCCTCCTCCACCTCCGTGTCGTCCTCAACCGCCAGCTCCGGATGGCAGCGTTCCCAGCCGGACCTCAACCGCAAGTGCAGGATGGCAGTGTTCCCCGCCGGACCTCAACCCCAAGTGCAGGAAGGCAGTGTTCCCCGCCGGACCTCAACCACCAGCTCCGGATGGCAGCGTTCCCCGCCAGACCTCAACCACGAGCAGTGTTCCCCGCCGGACCTCAACCGCGAGGTCTGCTTGGCAGTGTTCGCCGCCCTCAACGAGCACACAACCACAAACACACAATCACAAACACAACCACAACCACAAAAACGACCACAAGCTCACAAGCACAATCACAAACACGCGTAAGATATGTGTACGGAACTGAAAGCGGTGCCACACGCCAGCCTAGGGTTCCATTTCCTAAGGGGACAGGTAAAGAGACCTAAAGGAAGTAGAGGTCAAAAGGAAAAACACCGATCGAGCGAACGACAAGGTGACGACGTGCGTGCAGAAAACACTGCATTAGCCGCTTACTGCACAACAAAGAATGAGACAGCTTTTGCCATACGTAGGTTCTCAAAAGCAGGTACACCAGGTTGATCAGACCTGGCTTCCACCATCACGCATAGCTTCGTTGGCATGCGTTTGCGTGATGGCCGCATGCCCCCTGCTGACAAACTTAAAAACGCCAAAAGCGAGAACAGTCCGAAAGGATCCCTGTGATTCCAAGGGGTACGCACACACACAAACACACAACCACAAACACACAAACATGAACACACAATTACAAGCACACAAGCACAAACACAAACACAACCACAAACACATCCACAAACACACAGCCACAAACACGGCCACAAACACAGTCACGAACACACAACCCCAAAGACACATTTACAGCACACAACCACAACACACAACCACAATCACAGCACAACCCGAGGACCCACAAAAAAAGTCGAGAACCACAAAACTCACGACCATGGCAACATGCTCCTCACCACGGCATGAAGACAAATGATTCAAATGTCATGGTGGGGAGTGGGGATCCCTTGAAGTACAGTAATTTGATTTTTTATTGCATACTCCTGACTCAAAACTGATTCTCTAGACAAATAACCCCCTATATCTGGGTTGACCCTGCTCATTTCATAGAGGAATCCTAGTGGAGATACCAATATATTGTTTCTGGGAGTGATCAGTGTCTATGTCAAGCCGAGGTCGAGAGCAGCCCCGGTCTCGACCGGTTCTCATTTCCGTCACACGTCTCTCACTGAGGCATTAGCAAAACAAGCGCGAAGAGAGGCGGAAGAGGGGCCTTCCTGACTGAAAGCGCAGTTCATCCTTGCAGTGATTGAACAAATAACCCAACACAGGCGGTTTGTTCTTTCTTCTACCCTTCTGGAATGTACGGGGTACCATGTTTGAGGGGCATCCAGCGTATGTACTACTGGCAAAGCCTCCACTATGTGGCAGTGCAGAGACAGCTGCGCCTCTTAGCGGAAAAGATTCGCTTTCCAGTGGTGTTTGACGCATGTCCATCCTGGATATCGCAGGTTTTTATGCTTTTTGGCATATGCCACTGCCACCCGGGGGGATGTGCAACCTATGCAGTCGAACGGAAATGGTTGGGGCAATTGATGGTAGAGAGACGTCGGCAAGGAGCCAAACACTGAAGTTAAGTAGCTCTACGGTAGATACCGTAGAGCTACTATATACTTGCAACCTAGTAGCAATGGCCTCCAACCTACTAGCGATGGCCTCCAACCTACTAGCGATGGCCTCCAACCTACTGTACTAGCCTCCAACCTAATAGCGATGGCCTCCAAGCTAATACCAATGGCCTCCACCCTACCATATACTTGCAATGGTCTTGTGGGTTGAAAGTGAAACCTTCTGCTGCTTGAATGTCTGCCGTTCAGCCTTGGCCACAGTACTCTCGACACGCCAAACGGACTAAACGCTGCTCGGACCACTGCCCAGGCCATATGAGGAAGAGTCTGTGTCTGACACTTGAGAGGATTGTGGAAAAATACGCTTGACGTTTTGAGGGCACAAAACAATGGAGTCCATGTCATGTAGCATGTAATGCTTGTCCCATCCATCCACCATGATACTTTGTTTCCCTTTCTTTAAAGAATCCTAAGGTGAATGCAAGGCGAATGCATTGAATGTGCATCCAGCTTGTCTGAATAGAATAGTAGAGCCTACGAGAACCTGGTTTTTTCGTGGTAGGGGAAAAGTGCTACAACGGCTTGCGTCGAAGAAAGGATGCTGAGCAAAGAGGAATCGAAAAACAATCCTGGCCATTTGGCCACAGACTCTGCCGGCCCCGAAGGCGTCTCTTCAGCAAATGTCCGGCGTCTCTCAACAAGTTATTGGAGAGACAACACCACAAAGGTCAAAAGTGAGTGGTGTCGAAACCCCTTTCACCTTAGAAAGAGTCTGAGGTACATCAGAACAGCTCTCAGAACGAGAACGCGACAAATCATCAGGTGTACCGTATCTTCATCCCACATGACGGGTCTTGCCAACATCAACGCAAGCCAAGATGAAACCAGTTTGGCTGGCTCAAGAAGCAACTCCAACATATGTATTTGACTGTAATTCTTTCCACGACTTTGGCTTCGAATGATATTTGTACCTCACGACACCACTCACTTCACTGGCTCATCAGTGCCCTCGGCACAATCCACATGTGAGATCAAACCTCCAATTTAGCTAGCATAGAAATATAATGAAATATAGAATTTGCCTTTTGAGCGTTGAACATCCACATAGAATGGGGGCAGCAACACTCTGAATTCTGCTCCAAGAAGATTCACAGCGTCCATTGGCAGGCCACCGACTGTGTTTCGCCTTCCACTCCAACTATGTGGATTGCCCTGAGAAAAGAAAAGGCATATGGCAATAAGCCTTCGGAGAGATCAAAGTCTGAGGAAGCAGCAAGCATTCCGGTGGTTTTGGTGCTTTATTGAATATGCGCACCCTTTCTGAAACACGTCGGACCTTGGATGATCGCAAACTGTGCCAGACTTCCTAAGACAAACCATGCGCCCTGCTCCGTGTACTCTGGCGAGCTTTCAAAACGGCCGCCTTTAGGCTGCACTGAGCTCTTCCATTCAATACCTGGCTGCCAAGAGTTTGGAGAGTTGAGGGGATGAGATTGATCTGAGGTGGAGAAAAATACACACGCCAACTCAATTTTCCCCAGCCTTGTATGACATTAAATCAGCTGGACTCTTTCTACACCAGTCTTCACTCCTCTCCACCAGGTCAGTCACCCTGGTCTGTGACTCTTTTGCACCACTCTAGACTTGTACCTATGTGCACAACAGAAAACCAGAAGTTTTTTCTCAAGTTAGTCACCCGAACACCCAGCAAAAAACAAAAAAGCGCTGTTGAACCAACCAGAAAACCAGCGGCTCCAAACATCCTCGTGCAGCACAGCCGCCGCACTCAGAGCCACGACGACTCGGTGACCTCTTCGCGGCCGCGCGAGTCACGCGCAGACGACCTCGGTGGCGCAACCGCGGGTCACGGCGAGTTTCAGTGGGGTCAAACAGATTGAACTGGGTTGGAGGCCATTGCTATTAGGTTGGAGGCCATTGCTGTTAGGTTGGAGGCCATTGCTGTTAGGTTGGAGGCCATTGCTATTAGGTTGGAGGCCATTGCTATTAGGTTGGAGGCCATTGCT